TACTTGTTGTTAAATTGCAATGTGAGCGGCAGCCAACGGGGCTGCATTATGTCGGCAGGATCATTTAAAAGGCAACCGTGACTACATTGTGCGTCTGCCCCATTTCTGATACCGTGGTGGCAGAAATTTAAATTTAATTGACACTTCTCTAGAGAGTTGAGGTTTTGCCTGTTTTTACCACAAGCTGCATGTGTCTCTCAGCAAAAGAAGAGGAAAGACCGCCTATGGGAACAGGGTGTAATTGTACAGACCTAGTTTATTACCAATTTATTAAAACAGTTATCTTAAATATATTTTAAAAAGTTTTCTTTCTTTTAATCCCTTTCTCTACAGTAGAGTCTGCTTGCCATGTATTGCCCACAGTATATGGAAAAAACAGTGTGACACTGACACAGAGCAGGAAGGGGAATTCTGATGAGTTACACGAAAATGCTCTCAGTAATTACATGGATGTATATAGAAGAGATAGGGATTCCATGCTAGGTATCACCCAGAGACACTGTTTAAAGGATTTGAGAGCAGATTAAAGTCATGGGAGGTCAGTGTAGTGCAGATGCTGGGAGGACAGTAGGGAGCTGGGAATTTCAATATAAATGTAAAACAACCTAGGAGCCACAAACAAGAGCTGTTCTATTTATTTTGAAGCTGACACTTCAAGGCAAGCACATGGATGCCCAAGTACCTCCACCCCTCTCAGAAAATGATATGGCTTACATGGCCAGCCTTTTGATGCTTACTTCACTGTCTCAACAGACCCTTGTATTTGATTGGCTTCTGTTAAAGTACTGCTTGATGCAAGTGACAAAATGTTGGTTTCTTGAAATTAACTCAACACTGAGTCTTGGAAAACATTTGCTGATTTTTCTGATTTCGTCGTTTCTGCAGTAGCCGAGAACAGACATTCCCAACACTGGGGATTCACAGCCACTGTCATTTCTACTACGCGCTTCATAGTCCATTCTTATTCCCAGGTCATCAAATACAGACACCAGCAGTGTTTAGTTAGTCGCAATCTGCTACTTTACCACTAGATGAGCCTAAATCCTACACACTGGACCTTTTTTAAAATACATTTTCTCACAAATTGTGCCGTCGTTTTCCACACCAAGTCGTTATTTCTTTGACATCGTTTACACTCTTGTTCACCTGGCAACCAGTGTGACCAAGTTTAACTTTCTGTTGGTGTTGCTGTTTATTTCTGTTTTTATCTGTTAATGCACAAGGTAGATAACATTGCTCATATTGACTACCTTCTTTCTTTGCATCCAAACAACCTCACTGGTGGTTGTGCCTATTGTATAATATTACCTTTGAGACCTTTTTAAAGGTGTCTTGAAAAAGTGGAGACCAGAGTGAGGAAGTCGTCAAACCTGCCCAACAATGGTATTTAGAATAGCAAATACCAAATTCAGCTGTTAGATATTAGATGTAATATCTATAAGGACAAACCATCAGCAGCCCATTACACCTTGAGTTCAGGTCCTCTTAAACTGGTCAACAAAGATGGACACTTGATATGATGATATGATAATACTTATAACCCTTTGTTTTTAGCCACTGGTCACTTCTGTAGCTGAGTTGTGCACAGAAGCTATTACCAAGGTGTACCAAGTATCATGTCCATTACAAATATATATTAGAAAACTGTGGAAGATAATGTTTTCTTGCATTATTCCGTTGACCAAAGTGTTTGCTGCTAAGCCTGAACCTTCATTTAGCATATGTCTCCAGCTGACTCAGGCTGCAGGGACATCCACATCCTGTTATTTTAGGCCTCAGTTGTGGGCGAGACGTAGAAGCTCATAGGTCTGGTTTATGAATTTAGAAACGACTGAGGTAGACCATTGACTGCCATAGTCAAACACAATACATATCTCACCAATACCAAGCTCTCCATTTCTGCCATGTCTCTTCTTCACGTTCTCATCTCCTGATCAGGACATTTTGCCATTCTTTGAATTCATTTAATTTCATAATTTTCCACAATTTCCTGTTAATTTTGCCTCTTTTCTTGAATATAACATTCCAAAACGAATTAATTAATCCATCTATTTGGAGAAATTACCTCCTAACACCTTTAAGGGTTTAGTCTAGAGTAGATTTCTTCATGGTTTCCTCATGAGAGAATATTGAAGCTGAGAACATTGTTGCTCTGTCCCATTTTGGAAAAGAATCCAACCTGCTCCCTGGAGCTGCTTTGACTACTTTAGGGTTGCCTTTTAGCATTCCATTTGTCTTCTCATCCAGGGCTGGAAATCTGATAATTTTCATTATCCACTTCCTCGAGGTTGCTACCTCAAACTACTATATAATTTTTCAATGACAATCGCTTTCTCCACAATCGGTGTAATCTCAAAGCAATCTGGAGTTTTTCTTCCCTCATCTTTCTCTGATCTCTGAGCAGAGGTATACACCACACACTTAAGGCAACAAGATAAATGTTTTTGCAATGTTTTCTCACAAGCTTGGAACCGGAAGGATTTCTTAATACAGCATACAGAGTTGGTTTTGGTTGTGTGGCTGTTGTGGGAGATGATAGTGTTTTCATTCAACCCCCGGATCAGAGATGTTGGATCTTATTGTGATGTTTTCTCAGTATATTTCTAGACTGTGCCTGGGAGTTTGATCCAATGGTGTACCCACCCAACTTAAAAGAACTACGCAGGGGCATCTATTGGCCTAGTGGTAAAGACATATATAATGCAGTGACTTCCCTGGTTAGTTTCCTATAGGGGACCTTCATTTTAATGCACTTAATTGTATTCCTCTCTCTCCATGTATATTTTGTCTTTATCGCTACCCTCACTTGTCTAATAAAAGCAAAAGGCCAGACATTTTTTTAAAAAGCATAATGCAATAGTTAGTTCAGATCACATTGTCATCCCCAAAGCTGGCTCCTTTTTGTGCTCCCAGTTTGGGTGTTGGTTGTGATGAAAGTATTGGTGGTTTTACAACGGGGGTTTCAAACTCAAATTGCTTGGGGCCACTGCTGGTATTCTCATGTCATTGGAGGGCCACTTAAATGTTCTACAAGAAAGCGCCACAGTTTATATACACGTATATATCATGAACTTAAAATTATCTTGTTTGTTTTTTACCAACCAATTGTGGTGACCTTTGACGAAACTAAATACATTATACTACTATGTTTTTATGTTAAATGTGTATGAAGGGGTAGTTTAAATTGATATGAAACAAACTAATAGTTTCAGGACAGATTATATGTGTGAGCTCATGTAAAGGGTCAGGTAGATGCGAAGTAACAAATACTGTACAGAAACTGTGTACAGAAACAGTTTTCTCAGTTAAAATCAATACAGGCCTTGTAAATACAGTTAACACAGGATGTCTTCCTCACCTGTTCACTAGTGGCAGAGCTGAGCACAAGAAAACCTTCTTAGTTTAGAATAAATAGTTTTTTTGTTCCGTGGCATGCATATAGTGCACTAAGGATATTGCTTACCCTCCAGCCAGTTTGTATTTTCAATATTTTTTTAATCATATGAGCTACTCTGTGACTAAAATGTTGATAATGTGGGAAATAGCCTGTAGTTATAGTATGGATCATGTTTCTATCAATGTGTGCTTATCAATAACAGATCAACAGGGATCAGTTCTACAAGAAAACAGAACCGTTCTCCCTCTGTTCCTCTATCCTTTGAGTATCTAAAGTTTGCTTCTTCTATCTGCAGTTCTGGATATGGCACGCCATGTGCCTTTGTATCGGGCGCTACTGGAGCTGCTGAGGGCCATTTCCACCTGCACAGCCCTGGTTCCTTTGCTGCTGCCTCTCTCTGGAGACCCGGGGCAGGATGAGGAAGAGGAGGACGAAGAACACTCTGAGGGACAGACCTCTGTTGGTATGCTGCTGGCCAAGATGAAGACGTGTGTAGACACGTACACCAATCGCCTCAGGTGAGATGGAGAAAATCCATAGTTAATGGTGATTAATGTAATGATTAAATTTGTTTAAATTAGGTTTATAATTTTGCAGATTGCAACCAACTGAATAACGCTAGCCTTCTAAGCATGTAGGAGAGTCCCTATCTAGAGCCAATGTTTTGTTTGTCCCTTTGGGGCAACTGTAGAAACATAGCGGTTCAGCATGGCAGACCTCTCTGTAAATAAAAACAGCTAATTCTAAGGTAACAAAAACATTGATGTGA